TAGCTACACCATAACAACAAATATAAAGCTAGATGATGGCTATATATCGTAGATTTTTAGCTAGCGATGTTGTCAAGATATATCGATTGCTACATATATATATCGCAAGCTACAACATAACGACAATTCTAGAGCAGTGTAGTTTAATTCTAAAACAACATTAAAACTAACCCAAACCTTATACTAAAAATATCTTTTCATTTCATGCAGTATTTATAAATAAAATGGTTCTCGTTATTATAGTTAATTATTTTTTAATATTATAGATTTATAGTTATGCCGAATTTCAGTGAACTTATATAGGCATTTAAGGCGCTACACTGTAGTTTTGCTGACAAAATGGCTAACCGCTGACTAGCTCTAATTTGTTAAGGTAATAAAATATATTTATTTTTTTATTTTTTTATTTGCCGTTTAATATTACAATAACTAAATATATTTTACAATTTTTTACATTAGTAACGACAGGACTTCTAGAAGATCATGAGGATCTTGTCATGAAGCCCTTTACAATATATGGTTAACTTTTAATAAAAATACAATGTCTGTAGTGAAATAATAATACACCTCTATGCAAAAATATTTAAAAACCAAGATAAAATGTTAAAAAGTCAAGATAAAATTTTAAACCAAATAATATACAAAATGAAACAGCAACAAAAACAAAACAAAAAAAAAAAGGCAATTAAAAATAAATCAAGATATTTTCAATTAAAAATATAATTTTTTTAAGTTTCTGTTTGAATGAAGCAAAAGTCATTTGGGTTGAAAAATCAAAATTTGGTAAGACTATTTTGTTCCAGAGATAAGGACCTCGATAAGAAACAAAAAACTGGTCTTTGCTTTTACGACAAAAAGGGGCAATAAGATTGTTATTAATTCGAAAATTATATTTGTTTTTAGGTTTCATACAATAAAAATTTTGTAATACATTTGGCGACAAATTTTCTCTACATTTAAACATGAAACATAAAATATTAAAGACATTTAGTTGATATACATTTAAAATATTCATTTCTTTAAAAAGTTGTTTCGTGTGAAAAAACCGATTTTTAAAATTTATTACGCGAGTTGCGTGTTTCTGATGAAGGTAAAGAGATTTTAGCTTTGTTCTGTGAGTGCTTCCCCATATAATATTCGCGTAGTTTATATGACAATGTATAAATGAATAATATACTTGTGTTAACTGGCGTTTACTTAATATATTTCTTGCTTTATAGAGAATTCCGATGCATTTAGCAATTTTGTTGGAGGTATTATCAATATGATTTCTCCAAGATAGGTTTTCATCAATATACACTCCAAGAAATTTAGTACCTTTTTCTCTTTTTATTATTATATTATCAATTAGAAGGTCTGGCATGATATGGGGCAGTTTCTGGTATTTAAAAGGTGGATAAAAAAGTGTCCATTTAGTTTTTTCTATATTTAGAGACAATCTATTTTGTTTAAACCAAACAGAAACTTTTTTTAATTCATTTGTCATATTTGTAAAAAGCATATTAATATCTTTATGAGACAAAAATAAATTTGTGTCATCTGCAAAATTTATTGTTGTTAAATTTGATGATTTATGAAGATCATTTATGTATATTAAAAAAAAAAGAGGACCAAGTATGGATCCTTGTGGAACATCACATGTTATATTCATTAATAGATGAGATATAGAATCTTTATTGTAAACAAACTGTTTACGGTTAGTAAGAAAACTTTCAAACCATAATAGGGTTTTATCTTTAATACCATATGATATTAGTTTTTTTAACAGGATTTGATGATTGACGGTATCAAATGCCTTGGACAAATCAATAAACACTCCTAGTGTAAAGCAAGAGTCTTTAAATGAGTCGGTCATATTGCGCGTAAGTTGAAGAATGGCATGCTCGGTTGAATTATTTTTTTTGAAACCAAATTGGTTTTCGTATAGAATTTTATTTTCAACAAGATAAGAGTAGATTCGGTTGTACATTATTCTTTCTAAAATTTTTGAAAAAACTGGAAGAACTGAAATAGGGCGATAATTTGTTATATTTGTACGATCCCCTGTCTTGAAGATTGGAGTTACTTTCGCTATTTTTAGTTTATCTGGAAAAGACTCTTGTGAAATGAATGCTCTGAAGATTTTATAAAGAATATCTTTTATAACATCGTATGAATCAATCACGATATTTGTGTTAATATCATCATACCCAGTAGCTTTATTTCGTTTTAATGACTTAAAAGCAACCTCAAATTCATTAAAAGCTAACTCAGTAAAATTTAGATTTAGACTTATTGATGTTTCAAACTCGTCAACAGATTTATCTTTAATGAATAAAATACTATCGCTTAGTTTTGTCCCGACAGTGGAGAAAAACTTGTTAAATTCAAATGCAATATCATTTGGGTCATTTATTAATTTGTTTTCAATTTGTATAAAATTTGGGAGTAAATTTTTATTTGGTTTAAGTTTTCCAGACACCTCCTTCATGATTTGCCAGACGCGTTTTGAGTTGTGCTTATATTTATTAAGCAAGTTTGAATAGTAGTTTTTTTTTGCATTTTTGCGAAGCTTTTCAAATAAGTTTTTATAAGTTTTATAATTTTGTTTATGTTTTTCTGATTTTGATTTTAGGTATTTAATGTATAGCTTCTGCTTAATTTTTGATGATTTTCTGATACCTTTAGTAATCCAGGGAGATGACATTTCTTTATCGCTTAAAACTATTTCAATTAAAGGAAAGTTGGAATCATACACTTGATAAAAAGTTTTGAAAAAATTGTCGTAGATTATGTTGATATTATCATTAAAATTAATATAACCCCAATCTATATGTGATAATTGTTCTCTGAAAGAATTTAAATTATTATTGTTGATAAGCCGTTTTTTTATTAATAACTTTCCCTGCTTCTCTTTTTTTAAATTAACACATATAGAAAAAAAAATCGGGAAGTGATCGGAAACATCGGTTTTTATAATTCCCTTTTTTAGCGACTTATTAAAAAAATCGGTTGTTAAAATGTTATAAATTAATGATGATGAATGACTTGTGATTCTAGTCGGGCGATTGTTCCAGTTTCAAATAAACCATTAAAAAATTTTCTCGAACTTTGATTTTCATAATAATCAAAGGAGTTTATGTTGAAATCCCCGATCAAGTAATTTTTTTTCTTTTCAAGATCAGTTTTCTTTATTATGTTATTTAGTAAAAAATTGCCAAAGTTTTCAATTCTTCCAGTTGGTGGCCTGTAACAACAGCTTATTAGTATATTTTTTGAACGCTTATTTATAAGTTCTATTGTTAAAATCTCTTTGTTTTCATCAGAAACACACATTTCGCGTCGAACTTTATATAGAAGGTTTTAACAAAAAATAAAACTCCTCCATTTTTAACAAAAAATAAAACTCCTCCTCCTCGCTTATTTCTACTTCGTTCTAAAATTACTGGATCAAAACCTGGGAGATGGAGATTTGAGTTATTTTTAAAATCTGCATGTAAACACCAGGTTTCAGTTAAACAAATTAAATTAAAAGAACTTTCCGCTTCGCTTATAAAGTTTGATAAGTTTTCAAAATTCTTTTTTATTAATGTGGACTGCATTAAGATTATCACTTTTATTTTCGCTTTTTAAAATTTTGCTCACGTTACTAGGATAAAAATAAGAGGTTTCAAATTCAGGAGAATTAATTTCATTAAAATAATTAATATCCGGATCGGATTCGTCGTCTAAGTGTAATGCATGGGTTTCAAATAAATTAATTATTTTTTCAAAATCATTATTATTTGTTTCCATTTTCGCTATAATTTAGATTTGGCAGTAAATAATAGTGTGCGACATGTTGAAAGTCTTTTAGGAAGACTTAGTGATTAATTTATTGCATACTACTTTAGCATATAACGTATATTTAAATATAATGTAAACAAATAAATAAAATTAAATAAATAAAATAATAAATAAAATAAATAAAATAAAAAAAATAAAAACAAATAAATAAAATAAAATATATGACTAGCTAGCTGACTAGCTCGAATTTGTTAAGGTAATAAAATATATGGTTGGTAAGCAATTTAGGTACCTCTTTGTAGAACCAGGGTCGGCGCGAGTAGGTGTCACGTGGGGGAGGGGGGTGCCATTACGACATTTTCCGACTAACTAGTCTCAAAAGGTCCGATTTGCCGACTAAGGGTCCAGTTTGCCGACGAAAAAATTATTGATGGGGTGGGGGGGGGTGTCACACTTCCCCCCACACATCCCTATCGCGCCGGCCTTGAGTAGAACACAATAATATGTTAGGAAACTATGCAGAACAATGTGAAACGTTCACCACAAATATAAAAAAACTTACCATAGGACAAAAAAATTATGTTATTAAATTAAAAAAATTATTAAACAACCAGTAGTATTAGTGTTATATATAACAACCAGTAGTAACTTGTGTTATATATGTGATGGTTATATTTGTTTTTAGTAAATGAAATTAGTATGTTGATGGCTTATTTTGACTACCATAATGACTGACTTTAATGAAACTTAGGAAGAAAAAAAGCAAAAAAAAATTTTTTTTTGAATTTTAAAAATATACATACTTAGTACTTAGTTCAGATTTTTCTGACAAATTAAATTGTGTTTACTAATGCATATAATTGATTAAATGCAAAAAAATAGAAAGTAGAGAGAGTTTCAACTTGGCGGTCAATTTGGAGCGTACTATTTTCGAGAAATTTTTTAAGAAAATGTTTCATCATTATTTGCGTGATTCTACAAGCATGCGCAAAATTTTTACACCTACTATTCCTTTAAGGTTTTTTTTTTGTAAACTAATACCAATCCTATCTTTACCCTTTTTTTCTTTCAAATTTACCATTAAATGTCACTGTTCTATTCAACCAGTCACAGATTGTAATAGTCAAATTTACCATTAAATGTATTACTGCCCTATTAAACCAGTCCCTTTTCCAGATTGTAATGGTCTTTCTACTTTCTACTCTAAGAAATGATATAAAAAATGATGCAACGAATTATAAAACAATTTATTGTGAACATCAATATTTACTTTGTTTATAAACAATTTATTTTTAAATATATTTAAGTAGTTCTACTGATATCAGAAAATATCTTCAATCATCATCTCGTAATATCTTCAATCATTATCACGTAATTTCTCTTCAAACTTACAAATCGCTATAAAGCAAGATGAGGCTGTAAAGCTAGTTAAAATTAAGCATTAAAACGACTCGAATTTGTAACAGATAAATTTCTAGTTTGCATTTGGCGATTAAAGAGTTCAAGCGTTACGCTTGCTACAAAAGCTGGAATAGAGTCGCCATTTTCTAGATAGTCTTTGATTGCTTGTTGCCATTGTTCTGTATATTGAGTGACGCCCATAGACTTCCCGTTGTCCTAAAAATAATTATAAATAAATTTCATATTACAAACTTGCGTAAAAATGCTTGATAAAACTGAAAAAAAAAGTATAAAATTTCAAAAGCAGCTATAAGTCAATTACGACCAAAGAAAAGTACTCATACTGATTGTAGAGTTATTAGTTATATGAAAAAAAAATCCATTTGAAAGTGCTAGAAAAACAATTCCCTTATTGGAACTCGATATTTAAAAATACTGAACATTTATTATATTTAATATTCAAATATTTTAAAAATACTGTACAAAGCGACATTTGGATGATCCAGAGTTTAATAGTAACTACGCAACAAAAAAACCATTCCTATCAACAAAGAACCAAAAAGCACGTTTGGAGTTCCCAAAGGCTCACAGTTGGACAATGGTACCGTGGAGATAAATATTATGGCCGGATGAGTCGGAGTTTAACCTGAGAGGTTAAGATAGTAAACAAAATGCGAAAAAATCAGCTTGCATTAAAAGCATAATGTACAAATATATATATATATATATATATATATATATATATATATATATATATATATATATATATATATATATATATATATATACACACATATATATACACATATTTTTGGACTTCATTCTGAAAATTTTCAGAATGAAGTCCGACTAAATTGTTTAATATTTTTTATATTAGATTATTTCAATTTTACAAACGAGCTTTGAAAAACTGTCCTAACTTAAACAAACTATCAAACAACTTACATTATTTATTGATAATAATCTGTCAGTTAATTTATGTCAATTATGTCAGTTAATTTATGTAACTTTAACGTATTTTTGCAATTTTTTTGCAATTATCCTCTAAATAAAATAAAAAATTTGATTTAAGACGTAATAAAATTAAAACATTTGTAGCTAAGTAAAATAAATCTTTTAAAATTTTGTACACAAAATGAGTGATGTGGCACTACACAAGATGAAAGTTGTAGTGCTACACTAGTGGTCTAGTGTACACAACACAAGTGGAGTGGTATACAAAACACAAGTGGAGTGATATAGTATTACAAAAAATGAGTGGGGCAATGCTACAAGGTGAGTGGTGTAGTGGTATTTGTGGTAATTTTCAAAAAATTAAATGAATAACCTTAAGTATTGTTGACATATTTTCTGAAGTCTTACAAGATCTTATAATTTTTTTTATAGAAAATTATGTACAGCTTTTTCTCTGAAAAATCAAGATTATTCAATATCAATTTTCGATAGAACAATATCAATAGAATATTTTCGATAGAACAATATCAATAGAATATTTTCGATAGAACAATATCAATGGAATATTTTCGATAGAACAATATCAATAGAATATTTTCGATAGAACAATATCAATAGAATATTTTCGATAGAACAATATCAATAGAATATTTTCGATAGAACAATATCAATAGAAGATTTTCGATAGAACAATATCAATAGAAGATTTTCGATAGAACAATATCAATAGAAGATTTTCGATAGAACAATATCAATAGAATATTTTCGATAGAACAATATCAATAGAAGATTTTGATAGAACAATATCAATAGAATATTTTCGATAGAACAATATCAATAGAAGATTTTCGATAGAACAATATCAATATCAATTTTCGATAGAACAATATCAATAGAATATTTTCGATAGAACAATATCAATAGAATATTTTCGATAGAATAATATCAATAAATATCGATAGAACAATAAAAATAATTATTGATAGAACAATAAAAATAATTTTTGATAGAACAATAAAAATAATTTTCGATAGAACAATAAAAATAATTATCGATAGAACAATAAAAATAATTTTCGATAGAACAATAAAAATAATTATCGATAGAACAACAAAAATAATTTTCGATGTAAAAATAAAAATTAAATCTTTATAATCAAGTAAAAAAAAAAAAAAAATGAAATTAAAAAAAAAATTGAAAAAAAAAAAAAAACACTATTTTTAAAAGCCAAATATTAAATTTATATAAAACAGTTACATAAATAAAAACTTACACAAAAAATAAAAAAATCATCAATGTTCTCAGCATACACGCTTGTCACTTTAAAAGTTCCGTTTCCATTGTCTTTTAAATGATAACCAAATATATTGTAAACTGCTTCTCGAAACTCTTTAGTTTTAGCTTTAAATTGCTTTAAAAACACAAAACAATTTTTGCCATAAAATAAAAATGTTTTTATTATATAAATATTTGTAAATATTTTTACAGTGTAAAATAATCTAATAAACCTTATTGAAAAAATAATTAAAAACAAAAATATATAAAAAAGACTTTCTTTTTATATAACATTCAAATCGCGATTAATAAGCTCCATAATAAAAAGGGAAAAATATTTTTTTATCAAAATAGGAAATTATTTTTTATTAAAATAATTTATTTATTTTAACAAATAAAAAAGATATAATTTTAAACCAAAATAAATTTGATAAAAAATAAGATTTTCTTTTTTTCAATCAACCTGTTAAAAAAAAAAAAAAAAAAGATTTTCTTTTTCTTGTTACAGTTAAACTATTTTACTTTTGACAGCATTTAGAAAAAAGATACTAAAAAAATATAAGCTTTTTACTATTATTTCAAACAAATGTACTGTCTAATACCAAACCATCAGTTGATGTATGTACTGAAAGCTTTGCATTTACATCAATTATTTTAAAGTATTTTAATTTTTAATTGAAAACAAACAGTCTTGAAAAAAAGCGAAAACTTTTATTGTTTTAGATTCATTTATTACATAATTAACAAAGAATCTTATTTTTCCAATGACTGGAAAGTTTCTCATCTAACCTTTTTTCTGTTGCTATATTTTTTTTAATCTTTTCTATATTTAGCATTATATTTCAGTTGCAAATGTAGATTGACTCTTCTTTTCATCAACTATTTAGAATTGACTTTTTAATTGTTTAGAAATATTTAGACATTTCAGATTAAACATGATGAAAACATCATGTTTAATTAAAACGTGGTAAAAACATGATTAAAATATCATGTTTAAGACTGATAAAATACGATGAAAATATCAAAGTTAATTAAAACATGATGAAAACATGTTTAATTAATTATACAGAATATTCAAAAGTGTTTTTGAAAGATTTTTGAAAACCTAATACATGCAGTTCTTTGGTAAATTTAAAACTTTTAAATTTAATAAAGTACCTAAATTACAAAATCATGATTTAATTCATTTTAAGCTATTTTTAACATTAAGAAGTAGTTCCAATGTAAATTCTTTTGTTCATGGCCAAAAACAGAAAAATAAAATATTCTAATATCTCTTTACTATCATAATAAATAATATTGGAAGTCTATGAGAGTTACTTCTGTTTACATCTAAAATGATTTTTTTCAAAAACTCTATACCTTAAGTTTTTAACATTGTTAACTAACAATATAACTTTGATTCATGGCATAGTAGTTTTTTTAACTACTATCTTATGAATAAAAATAAATATCAAGTGATATTTCAACTTTTTATCCAATAACAGCAACATATAAATAGAATCTTTATTATCAACATATAATTATATCGTAGAATTAGAATGATCAAAGACATAACTGTTAGATACCATTACTCCACAAAGTGATGACATGATGTTTTACTATTCTTTTTATATCTAAACAAAATATTATTACTCCACAAAGTGATGATGTTTTACTTTTTATATCTAAACAAAAAGATTTTTTAAATAGATCAAATTAAATAGATTTTTAATCTTTCCAAACTCTGATAATTTTCAAATCCAGAATTTGATTGGCTCCTCTTTATCTTTATCTGCTTATTATTTTTACCTGTTTATTATTTTTACCTGTTTATTATTTTTACCTGTTTATTATTTTTACCTGTTTATTATTTTTACCTGTTTATTATTTTTACCTGTTTATTATTTTTACCTGTTTATTATTTTTACCTGTTTATTATTTTTACCTGTTTATTATTTTTACCTGTTTATTATTTTTACCTGTTTATTATTTTTACCTGTTTATTATTTTTATCTGTTTATTATTTTTACCTGTTTATTATTTTTACCTGTTTATTATTTTTACCTGTTTATTATTTTTAACTTCATTTTTTAAGTTTATTTCTTATAACGCAGATAAGTTGCTCTACATAATTTTTTCATTTTATTTTTAGTTTTAGTATTCAATTTGTTTTATATTTTTTGCTTTTCCATACAATTTTTGACAAGATGTTTGTTTTTAATGGAATTTTTTTGCATTGAAAACGACTCAAGTAAACAAATGTCAATTAACTGAAAAAAAAATTATTTAAAGGATGCCACATGTACAGCATAAGTAATCACCTCAAAGTTTTGGATTTTGAAGATTTTGTGAAATGTAGATTTTGGTTAGGAACTATAAAATTAGCTTTGTAGACAAGGTTATTAATCAACAACTGGAAACCTTTAATAACTTCATTTTATTTCCCAGCATTTGAATCCTACTGTACATTTAAATCCTTATTTTAAAGCATCATAATGTATATAAAAGCAACAAATAACTAAAATTATAAAAACTGATGATACTAATACTAGGATGTTGCATGCTGCCTTGAAGTAGATATTACATTTTTAGCTTCAGTAGAAACAGATTGTTTTCCATGAGGTATAGCAAAAATTGTTTCCATAAGGAACAGCAAAAGTTGTCTCTGTAATCCTTTTCTTTATTTGTATTCTTGTGATAAAAAAAATCTTTCTTACTAAACCAATCTTTAGTTATGTCACTGAGTTTGGGAAACCATTAGGAAAATCTTGAATTACTAGATAATAGTTTGCTTTACTTTAAGCATTTTTATTAACAGATCAACTGACTGTATTCATCTGATTTTAAGTTTCCTAAAATCAGTTGAATACAGTCAGTTGATCTGTAATTAATATACATTAAACCATTTTCGGAGTACCTGTAAAATAAATTCCCTTTTCTCTAGCCAAACTCTATTCTACTTTTAATTAACTTTGACAGCAAAAATAAAAAATAAATCAAAATGTAATCAAATCAATCGTTAGTATCTAATAAGGTTTTATTTTATTTCAATTTATTTTGTTTTCCTGATGCTATTCTTTACATGCATGAATCTAGTTTGAAATGAAATACTGTTGTCTGTCTGAACAGAATCTAATAGTTCAGTTTTGAATCAAATTTTTTACCTTGCTTTTAAAAAACAAGGTGAAAAAATATAAAGTTGGATCTACACTAGCGGTCAATCTTTTGTCACATTTTGTCTAAAATACTTGCCAGATTTACTGTTCTAACAAGCTAATTTCACATCCTTCACAGTGATTGACTTGCTCAAAAGCCATTTATCCGATTGTTTATTTCAAAAATCAATACTTTATAAATCTCTCCATTTATTGTACTTTCCTAATTTTCAAAATAGTTTTCTTTATAGAGTATGTGTTTTAATGTCAAATGGCTCAAATAAGTTATAACCTATTAAAACCTAATAAAGTCAATCTACTACATAATTGAAAAACCTACCATGAAATGAATGAATACTTTTATCCATAAATGTTTTTCAAAGTAAATGTTTTTAAAGAGTTTTTAAAAAGCTTTAATATAAACGTCAACCAACAAACAATATCTCCACAATTATTTGGTACAAAGGCGAGGTAATTCTGGTGTTACCTTATTTATGCACTGGACATATACGTAAACTATAACACTTTTATATTATAAAGGCAAATAATTAAAAAAATTACTACACCTCCATTAGTCTTTGATTTTTCATTTTTTCACTTTCTAATTGAAACTTCGTCTCTGATAAAGAAAAAGTAGAAACAAATATAAACTCTTTTTTTTTAGAAATGAAATTAAGAATTAGAACAAAAAAATATTTTTTAGAAACAAAACTTTGACTTTTGACAAAAGAATTTTTGAATTATTTATTAATTTAAATAAAAAGTTTATTTTCATTTTTGAAGTTAATTATATTTTTTAAGTTATTGCAACTTTTTTAAAACTTGTTAACTAATATTATTAATTAAAAATAAAGTTAAAATTCCAATAAATGGCAATAGTCTTATTAAATCTTCTATTTCCACTAAAATTTCTTTAAATCTTCTACTATGTTTTACTACTGACCTCTTATGGAAACCATATATAGAACCAATTGCAAAGTTGGAATTTGCTAAGGTTGCCTCTCTTATTATGTTTGCTAATTTCTCTTGCTAATTTTTGAGTATAATGGAACAGTTAAGGGAAAAAAAATTTTCTCATAACTGTTCAATTATACTCAAAAAAATTTTCCTAATTTTTTTTTTTACATATTTAGATATTTTCTTTTTATTTAGACATATTTAAACATCAGTTTTTATTAAACATGCGTTCTTAGAAATTCTCTCCTATCTTACAAACTCTATATAAAAATGACATCAAATAATATTAATAATGCAAATAACAATGTATATACAGGAAAAGTTACAAACAGTTATAAAACAGTTATAAAACAACTTACCATTGCAATGCATAAAACTGGATATTAAAGAATAACTATTATTTTTTCATAAAAAGCTCTTAGTAATTTTTTATTATTACTTTTTATGAGATAATATCAAAATTTATATTTTTAACTTAATTATTAACTTTTTAAATTTTTGATAAACTTCTATTAAGATTTTATTGATTGTTAGATTTTAAACCCACCAATCACAACTTATAGGGGTAAAATAAAACTTTAATATGTTATCAAAAAAAAAAAAAAACGTGCCAGTGTAGCCGAGTGGTTAGCGTGCTGAGCTTCTGAACACATGCCATGGTTCGAGTCCCACCACTGGTGAAATTTTTCTAGATTTTTTTAAATACTTATGAAGTTTTATAGAGATTATACACAAACATATGAAACTATAATACAAAAAATTTTACACTTTTACAAAAAAAAAGGTTTTTAAAAAAGCTAAAAATTCTAAAACTTTGTTGCATATATGTCATGATTGAGATGATAGAACTTGAATTACAAAGTACAATGTATAAACATTGTATTTTGCATTTATGACTATCTACATAGAACATACAAGAGCCTGCAGATGTACATTATAGTATATATGCATATAGTATATACCTATATATGTATACAATATATAACAGGCTGCTATGTAAGGTATAGTATATTATTTATTTTGAAGAAAAATATGCTTTAAATAGGTTTTGCAGGAATTTCACTGAAGTTGAAAACCATGTCCCTATTTTGAATATTTATTTGAATTTAAGAGTTTATTTAAACCATAAAATAGAATAATTTAATTAGTAGAATAAAATAGAATACTAAATTAAGTTTTTACTTATTTGTGAAAAGAAGATTTTCGTAAAATCTTGAGCTTGGATGAAATACTAAATCTTTTTTTTTTTTTGCAAGTTACACATCTTTTTTTTTTTGCAAGTTACAAATCATTTTTTTTTTGCAAGTTACATAACCACCTCACAACCTCCATACAACAAAAAAACTAATATACTTTTCAGATTTAAATAAATTTATTACTTCGAAGCTACTTTCATTACTGAAAATTAATTTTCTCTTATCAAAACTCTCTTTACATTATCTTAATCTTGTTGATTACACCATCTTAATCTTGTTGATTACACCATCGTAATCTTATTGATTACAATATCTTAATCTTGTTGATTACACCATCTTAATCTTGTCACCCAATCTTTAGCCATCAGCATGGGTTTTTTAACAACAGCATAAATATGTTTTTCTTAAGTAAAATGTTTCTAATTGTATTTAAACAAAAATGCTTTTTACAGTTTTTATTGAACAAATAATTTTCACAAATAGTTACATATATATTTACACAGATATTTGTTTAGTTAAAAGGAACACTGGAAAAAGGAAGTTCTTTAAATGTTGAGAATAAAAAAGTACTGCAGATGGGTTTGCGTAGACTAGCTACTGGCGTATCTGAGTTTTACAGAACCCAATTCCGAAATCCATTCGAAATATGTTATGTTTTCCCAGTTTATTTTTTTTTTAGGCTAGTGAAGTTGTAGTTTTTTTCTCAATATTCAAAATTTTTATCACTGTAGATCTTTGTAATTTAAATGAAATAGTTTAAATTCAATACTGCGCATTTTTTTAGATAGACTTGAAGTTTTATAGAGTTTTTTTTCTTCTCGAAAACCTTGTTAGTTTACATTGAATTGCATTACCCATTTATAAAAGTTATGTAAATTTTTTTACTTAACAAAATATAATATGATAAGCGCATAAGCTCCACTTTTATCACCAAAAAGGTATATGGCGTTCATGTAACTATTTTTATCAATAATAAAAACGGCAAGAAAACAAGTTTGTTATAGTAATATAGTATAATAATGTCTTAAATATATTAAATATTAAAATAAACATATTATTTTTAAACTTTATATAAAAAAATAAATCAGATTTCGTTATCTGAAAACAAACTTTCTTGCTCAGAAACATTTTCGAAGAAGTTAGTTTCATTATTTTGGTCTTCCTCACTACTATCATTACTTAACGTAATTTTTTTTTGTTCTTTTCTAAATTTTTTTTACACTCTTTGCGGCATTGTTGTGTTGGACGACAACGTTTGTGTAATTCCCTTTTTTCAATTGCAGACATTACATTATACATTTCTACAGGTGGACCGAGTTCGCCTATTCTTAATAAATGTTCTAATCGTTGAGTAAACAAGGAGCATCCAAAGTCAGTTTTAACCACATTCAACTTTGAAAACATTCTTTCTAGCTTCGAGTTGCACACGGGGATGGTAAAAAGTAGTTTAACTAATGCCAAAACATCTTTCCAGCTCTTACACCGCAGAGAAGAGAATATTTTTCTCCATGTACACAAATATGTTTGTGTTGATATTGAAAGGTACTCATGAGCATACTCTAACAGAGTGTGCCATTGACTTAAAACATCAGATGCATTAATGCCAGCACGTTTTAAAGGTGTTTTAAAACAATGAACTAAATAAGTAATGGCATCATCTGTGAACTCATTGTTGTTAACAGTTAAGTTTTCTACTACTTCTTTCTGATCCCATCTTTCACAATTTAAAACTTTCGAAACAAATAAAATATTTGCTTGCCTTCAGCTTCTTTCAGCTTCTTCTTCTAAGCCAACTTTAATGCAACTTTTTAGCGTTTCTTTTTTTTTGGATTTAACAAAACTAATTGACCTGTCATAATTTTTCAGCTCAGTATCTTGAAAATAATATTTTCCCTCTGTACAAGTAACTTTCGAAATCAAGTATTTTACATGTGCGAGTTTTTCAAATTCTTTTTTTTTAAATAAATCCAAGAGATTTTTTGTTTTTGACAGGAAAGACATTGTATTAACCGTGTCAATTTTATCACTTTGCATAGAAACAGATAACTCTGATGCCATTCCAAGTAAGTCAATACATATACTTAAAAGAAATAGCATTTTATTGTCATTCCACTTTGCTAGATAACCCTGTAATGGAATTAGCTGATGTAAAAACATCAGCTAATTCTGATTTCCACTTTTCCACGGTTGTTACAGAAATGGTTCGAGAAGAATGTGAAGACGATGGGATTTTTGCTTGGTTCGGGTTAATTTTCTGGCTTACTGATACCTCTCCGAATGAAGCTAAAATTGTCTTTTGTACTTTTTTTGGCAGTTCTATTGACTTGATTAATGCAACTGTCGTAACTGTTTGAGTACTACATTCTCCGCATTGCCCTACTTTTTTATGTTCTTCGTAGTAACTAACATCATCTTCGGATACTTCAGCGAAACAAATGTTACATACTGGTAAGGAACAACCTACACACAAATACTTTGTTTTGCGGTTTTTCATGCTATGCATAACAAGTCTGACATTAGGATGAATTTATACAGAATGAATTTATGTGTTCCAAAAATATAATGAAAACAAGTGCGTTTATTTCTAGTGAACGATGATGCACTATTTAACAATAATAACTAAAAAAATTTTACTGTAATAATCTGAATTAGATTTATACTGTTTGCCATTAAGAACGCTAAGCGTTATTTATCTTCTAAAGAAATTTATACATGTTTACTCATTAAAAGTTAAATCAAATCATTACGCTAGATATTGGTTATTACAAATTCAAAAAAATCTACACGCTTCGCTTTTACTCATTGAAAGGCGGTTAAATCAAAAGCATTATGATATTTACGGGCTATTATTTAATTTAAAAATTCCACACTCTGCATGTCATTAAAATTCAATCAATTCAACGAAGAAAATTTTATGAGTTCTACAGGTAATTATTTATCTACTTTTCAAAAAGGCACTCCTTCTTCGGCAGACAATTTTTATAAAGCTAGAATATATATTATATATATATATATAATATATTATATATATATATATATATATATATATCTTATATATATATATATTTAATCTTATATATATATATATATATATATATATATATATATATATATATATATATATATATATATATATATATATATATATATATATATATATATATATGTATATATATATATATATATATATATATATGTATATATATATATGTATATATATATATACATACATACATTTATATTACAATCTTTATAGAAATAAAATTTAAAAAAATATAAATAAAGATATAGTTTAAAAAACGAATAATGAATAACGAATCGGAAAACTCGAGGAGGACCAGGATGCCACCAAGAAACCGATCAAGCTAAAATATAATGATTTGGATGATCATAACGTTAACGTTTAAATGTGTATTTTCTTAATTTTTTTTTTTAATATTGCATCGATAAGATCTCAGCCTCTAAATAAGCACCTTTGTAAAATCTTTTATTATCAAATTTTTAAAACTGCAAGCTTTTCTTTGCTTTTCGGTGTCCACAACGTTTGCAGTAATCAATCAAACATACTTTGACTTACTTTGTAAAACACAATATTTTTTCAATGAGAGTTTATTCACTCTATAAAAAAAAAATTAGCTACACCAATTTTCCTCGTTTTAATATAACTAAACTTTTTTTTAAGCTTCTTTTCATTATTATAATCTCCATCTTTTGACTTCTTGTAAAAACTTATAAAAACTTTTACATAATTGAAATATCAGTAGAATTCAATAATGCGACATTTCTTAGATTAGGCGCCTTTTCAAAGTTAATTTGCTCATTCGCATTTTATAATATCCCATTTTGCAATCGTTTTAAATAAGCAATAATTTTAAATTTAATAATATAACAAAAAAACTGTTGAAGAACAGTCATTAAAACTACAATAAATAACAGCACTTTAACTGGAAATGAATGCCTCCATTATCAATATGTTTTATAAGTTTGTCTAATAGTTTACATTAAGTTTAATTCTGTCAATTTCAAATCAATGAATAAAATTTTATTTTGAAGAATTCAAAATTCCGCCAGACAAAACGTCCGATGACTTTGTAAATTAATTGGACAATCGGAGGTTTTAGCTGGACAATGTCCGATGTCCAACTGTTAAATTAAGACCTGAGTATTTATATGCAACTAACAACATCATAAGTAATTATATGCAACTAACAACATCATAAGTAATTACATGCAACCAACAACATCATAAGTAATTATATGCAACTAACAACATCATAAGTAATTATATGCAATTGAAAACATCATAAGTAATTATATGCAACTAACAACATCATAAGTATTTATAAGCAACTAACAACATCATAAGTAATTATATGCACATAACAACCATTTTCTTTCCTACCCAAGTTTTTATTTTTTTAACCTTCCTAAGTTTTTATTTAAAAGCACAAAAATTTAAGATAACATGTTATAATATCAAAAGTTATTGAATATTATGTTTACCTAGTCTAAAAAACTTACATACAAAAAAAAATTAAAAAAACACACAACAAAAACACAATTTTAATTGTATTTCAAATAAAACTATATCTTTTAATTAAATTTATAATTAAAAAATAATTGTCTAAAAAATGGTATTTAACAAATATCTCATAAAAACATGCTTACGAATATCGATTAAATGCACTTTTTAAATAAAATTTAAATTAGATCTAATAAATAATCCTGAATTTAAAAAAATATTTTTCTTTAAAATTCTTAATTCAATTTATATTTTATATCTTTATTTCAATAAGTTAAATTCATGCTTTATTTTAAAACATCTACGTAATAATATTTTTTACATAAAGATAAATATAGCTGTTTAAATTGTTTTCTGCACATATTTTAACACTTCCTCAGTATATATGTGAAAAGCAAATAAGGGAGGAGGAGGGGAGGAGGGGAGAGTTGTGATGAATAAAAAAATATTTACATTATTTTTACATTAATTCAAGTTCTGTACATAGAGAACTTGATACACAATTTGAACATAAAGAGTAGTAATAAAAAATAAAACCTTGCATGTGCTTTGAAGACTTTATCAATCCAGAAACATTCATTGAATCATCTTGCTCTTCCTGTTTCCTCTGTTTTAACTGTATAACCTTCTTACGTAAAGAATGATTTTCTGAAACAATCATTTGCAGTTCTTGATGATACCTCTCACGAGCTGCGCTCAGAGGATTATTACTCAAGCATATAACTTTTATTTTTGATGGATCATAATCTCCCTAATAAACAATTGCACTTTCTTCTTTAAAATGAAAAATGTAACCTCACTAACAAATATTTTTAAGAACAATAAATAAGTCTTTAATAGCGTATAAGTATTATTTACTAAATAAAAAAATTAATAAAAAACATTTGTATTTATACAGTGATAATAAAGTTTAAAATTTAATTGCTAAAATACCTGAATCTCTTTTTTCTGTATTCTGAGTTCTAAGAAATTTTTTTCGTTTTTTAAAATATCAAAAGCTGTTTGAAGCCTTTCTAACTCTTGTCTAAAAATTAAATTAGAATATACCTTAGCATGGTTAAATGTATTATTAGCATAGTCAGAATAAATTATTGTAAGAATACATTATAAGCATGGTTCTGATTTCTGTTTGTTCTGTGCAATAACAGAATTGCTATTTTATTAGTTTGTTTTTTTAGATAAAGCATTTTTATTGCTTAGAAAATAAAATTAAAAAACCCAATAATTTACTTGGAAAATTAATAATTTATATAATCATTATTATTTATTTAAAAAAATTTTAAAAATAATTTATGTAATCATTAATATTAATTAAAAAAAAATTTTTTAAATAATTTATAAAATCATTATTATTAATTTATATATTATCAACTTTTATGTAAATTCAACAAGATCAACTTAATTGCTTTTCATAACTTTATTTTTATTAAAATTAACTTTCAGTTAAAATTAAGAAATAGATTTAAACATGCAATTTTAACATAAAACCCTTTTGTCATTAGTGATGACAAATTGAACATAAATATTAAAAATATTATAAATATATTACAAAGATATGTTTACTCAACTATACAAAGTTAAAATTTTACTTGTATATTTCAACATCTTTTTTATCTTCCTTGTATTTAGAAATCTCCTTCTATAAAAAAAACAATTATAACATTTAATATAAATTTCATGTTTAAGCATATCATATATTTCATGTTATTTTGTCTTTTATAAATATATTATTCATTATTTCCTCATAAAAGTTTAAGAATTACAAGAAAAACACAAAAACAAACGAGGATATTTTGTAAAAAATTGCAGTAATTGGAGCCTTGGAAACAAAAATAGCTCAAAACATCCCCTACTTTAAATGTGAAGACAATGAGTTGATAATATGTTTTTTAACATACTATATGAAACTTAAATAGATTTTTTTTTGTTACAAAGTTTGACAATATGAAATTTACAACCATAATGGATAGTCATAATTTTTACACATTTTTTACAAATTAATTTTTAAACATTTAAAAATTATTAAATGAAACTTAAAACCTGTCAATGTATTCCAGTTTAGTTTAATTTTCAAAATTTAATTCATTCATTGGTTTAAAAAGTACATTATCATGCTTTTTCTAATGATATTCTTGAGCAAATTTGCTCAAGAATATTAATTAACATTTGTGGTAATTTCAGTAAACCAACTAATCCTAAACACCTATAATAAACTTCAGTAATCCTTAGGGAAACACCTATAATAAACTTCAGTAATCCTTAGGGAAACACCTATAATAAATTTCAGTAATCCTTAGGGAAACACCTATAATAAACTTCAGTAATCCTTAGGGAAACACCTATAATAAACTTCAGTAATCCTTAGGGAAACACCTATAATAAATTTCAGTAATCCTTAGGGAAACACCTATAATAAACTTCAGTAATCCTTAGGGAAACACCTATAATAAATTTCAGTAATCCTTAGGGAAACACCTATAATAAACTTCAGTAATCCTTAGGGAAACACCTATAATAAACTTCAGTAATCCTTAGGGAAACACCTATAATAAACTTCAGTAATTCTTAGGGAAACACCTATAATAAACTTCAGTAATCCTTAGGAAACACCTATAATAAACTTCAGTAATCCTTAGGAAACACCTATAATAAACTTCAGTAATCCTTAGGAAACACCTATAATAAACTTCAGTAATCCTTAGGGAAACACCTATAATAAACTTTTAAGGCTTTAAAAGCTACTTAAAACCAAAATAAAAATTTTCTTCAAAAGAATTAACTTTATTTAATGTACTCTTCCATAACTAAACTCAATGAACATAACATAACTCAATAAACAAATTCATTTATTTGTATTTTGTGCTGCTCTAAAACAGTTAATGTGGATGCCAGCTTTACATTCAGGAAACAAATTTGCTCAGAGAGATAACATACAATTTGAATCAAATAATTTTTCAATCGTTAAATGAATGATTGAAGTTTTTTTGATTTGATTGTTGATTTAGTTTAACTTTTACTTTATAGCTTTAACTACTCTATTTTGAGGAACATTTTTAAACATCTTTAAACATTTTTTAAATACCCTTTTGAGCGTATTTAAAAAATGCTTTAAAAAGATGTTTCAATTTCCTCATTCCTAAGCATTAATTTGGGAAGGGGGTCAAAAGTAATTCAAGTATTTTAAAGGGCTTAGAAAATAAAATTCAAAGACAAAATTATTTATAAGAAAATTATATCAATTTGAAAACAACTTAAAATTTTAAAACTTCTACCTCTAGCTTTGCAACAACATTGGATAATTCTGTTATTTGAGAATGTGCCTAAATAAAAAAAAAAAATTGATAAATGATTAAATTAGTAAAATAAATGTAATTGATAAAATTAATGAACAAATTTTTTTGATGAAATTAATGAACAAATTTTTTAATCCTTCAATTTTATTGGGATATTACTTACGATCATAGTATAATTTAATAAATATTATTTAATAAATATTAAATATTATTTAGTGTATAAAAAACTCTTTTTTAGTGCATAATAACTATAGTTACTATATAAGATTTTCTTTTAAATTGCTCAAAACAAAATAGAGGTAATTTTGCAAAATAGATGTAATTATGCAAAATAGAGATAATTATGCAAAAGTTGGTTTAAAAGGTTTAGCAGAGATGTAAATTTAAAAAAAAGTTGTCATCAATATCTTTTAGCTTTGTTGATTATATTTTTATAAATTTCAAAGTAAAACTTTGAACTTTATATGCATACGAAGTGTACACCTAAAAAAATGAAAAAAAAAATCAGTGAACATTTTTATAACCTGAGTTAAAACAGTTGTAGCAAAACAAAAAACAAAGAATCAATATTTAATATAAAAAACAAAGTACTATGTTGAAATATAAAGAACAAAGTACTATTTTTAAACATGAAGATTAAAGTACTATGTTTAAATGTAAAGAATAAAGTATAATGTTTAAGGAAATAACAAAGTACTATGTTTAAACATAAAGAACAAAGCACTATATTTAAAGATAAAAAACTTCTTTAAGTTTTTCAAAATAAAACTTTATAAAAGATGATAAATCCTAAAACTGCAAGATCAATTTCAAGAAGAATTTTCAAGAAAAACTTCTGATTGTTACGATTGTTTTAATTTTGGCTGAGATTATACTTATACTTAATTTCTGTCATTTTGAAATTTACATTTTTTACAATTTACTTACAAAATCAAATTTACTTAAAAAAGCTAAATATAGATACTTTAGTAGATATTGAGATGAGGATATATGAGTTAAAATTTCATATTTGAATTATAAAATACCTTGAAATCAAAATGACTCATGTATGCTAGTAACATTTACTTTATAATATAAAACTGGGTAAAGGTCTCCATTAACCTTTACCCAGTTTTATATTATAAAGTAAATGTTACTAGCATACATGAGTCATTTTGATTTCAAGGTATTTTATAAGTTGATGAAGGTTGATGAACATTTATGAACGTTGATGAAGGCTGATGAAGCTTAATGAAGCTTGATGAAGGTTGAATTCAAATTTTGATACTTTGATTTGAATACAATTTTGAACTTTAGATCTCACGCAACAAATTCATAATTTTCTGAAAAGTCACAAAACACAGTTCCTTTTAACTTTAACACAATTCTTTTTAATTTAAACTATTTTTTAAATCCTTAATAAACCTTGTTTGACATTTAGAAAAATAAAAGTGAGCATTTTATTGATACACTTTAGCACTAACTCTATATAGATTTTAAGAAACGCAGTTGGGTTTATCAATACTTTGTCACTGCCTACAACTTAACTCATCATCTAAGTTCTTCCAGCTCTTTATTTACACTTATTAAAATAGTAGAAAACTCTCTAAAAAAAAAATTCAGGAGTTAAAGTGAGATCTTATTTTTGTTAAAATATATATATTTTTCATCAATGGAGTTTCTGTATCTAGATCAAATGATTTTACTCTGAATAAGACAGTAGTGTTGTCTGTGAAATTACTTATCTCATAAAAGTCTGCTAAACCTTTAAAAATCTCTTTATAAATAAACAAATGTTAATTAATAAGAGATTCTTCTAAACTTTCCAGGGATCAGTGTGAGTAAATGGCTGATCTGTTTTTATCAATACTTTATCTGCTTCATTTTCACTGGGGTATGCACACCTCAGTGCTTTCTGCTTTTGGCTCACAGCTGTTGCATGAAAATAAA